CAGGTTCCAATGGAGCTCTTGTCTCACAGAACAAGACACCTGAAAAGGGCACTGAAAGTCAATCTTTGCACTTTGCACGTACTGTGTGCAATCCGTGTGTGTACACAAACTATACAGACAGAGACACACAGACACACACACACACACAGCAACAACAACCTCAACAACCATTAAATCCTAAAGAGAAGAAGAGTAGAGGCGCTGAGGAAGTAGCACAGTAAATTTAACAGGAAATATTATTGTAAAAGGGGTTCCCAAGCCGGACAGTCTGATGGCACACAACATACATTTAAAAGGTATTTGTGGTTCTTGCTGAGGGATACTGGAAGTGTTTGGGAGCTTCGATCACCTTCTGTCCTCCGCATAGGCGCACAAACTTAGAAGAGGCAATACAAGCACCCTACTCTTTCTCACATCCCTCCCTCTGTCCCTCAGGTCTGAAGGGGACGGATGCAGTATCAAGGAGCATCTGGTAGTCACATGGCTAGGTGATTTTTTTTCTCTCAAAGCTGAGGTCTGAGTGTACAGAACTCGAACCAGAGGCTGGAGCATGATGAATAGCAACTCCCATTTCCTTGGAAGCAAGGTGGCCAGGCTGGAGACAATGTTGGGAGCTGCGGAACTGGCTCTGTCCTGGTCTCTGCTGCAAAGGCGCAATCTGAAGATTTAAGGAACCAGTTCCTGTTTGGTTGGTCCTGGCTGACCCCAACATCAACTCCCTTGACTGAAAATAAACAGGATCTTCCTTTGTGTCCCCAGGAAGGCAACAGAGGAAGAATTCCAAGGGGAAGGGCCTCTTCTGCCAAGGAACAACAACAAGGGTGACAGTGGGAATACAATACTTCCTGCTTCCTCCAGGGTGGCGAGGAAGGTACCCTTGTGTGTGCTGACCCTTCTCTTCACAGGTCCCTTCAGAGTGCCAGAGTGCTTGGAGGTCCAGGTCATGCTTGGTTTGAACTTACTGTTTTGTGGGCCTTATACACTCTGGGCTATACCTTCTTAGGGGTTCAGAAAACACGACCACAGTGACAACATCTCTTATTGATACAGGATTGCAGATAACCCTGGGCAAACTGGACCATTTTGACTGAAGGCTGTGTGTTAGCTGAGGATGTCCCCAATGAGGCTGGAGATTGGAACAGCAGGAGAAGGGAAGCTGTGACTCTCATCATAGAACAGGCTGGTGAGAATCAATAGGGGCCCCAAGTGAGAGGGGAGGCTTGCATGATTCTCCCCTTTCTCCTAGTGCTCCAGGGGCACCGGAGGAGTTGGCTCCCCAAGCCTCAACAGGGCTTGTCTTCCTCGTCCCCTCATAAACTCCTCCGTTCCACAGGAGAGTTTGTTAGCCTTTGCTGTGGGTTCTGAGGCAGGGTTTATCCTCTTCCCTGTGAACAGGAAGGCCACTTCATTTCTCTTTTTATTCAGTCAGAGGGAAACAGAAGGATGTCTTCTCCTTCCCTTTCCAATATCGTTGGTCCAGGAAGATAGGACCTTTTTCTCTTGTCCCTTCATCTCTACCTCTTTTCCTCCTCCTTCTGCCCTCCCCGCCATTGTTCTTCCATTCTGTGGCTCAACCTCTGGAAGCTGATGGGGAAAAGCAGAGGTAAATCCCCTTGTTTTAGCCTGAGCCTCTGACAGCTACATCGAGAGAAACTACTAACACCATAGTTTGAATGCTTGTGTCCTAAAGTTCATATGTTGAAGCCTTAACCCTTTGAGTGTTAGGAGCTGGGGGGGTCTTTGGGAGGGACAGGGTCATGAGAGTGGAGCCCTTGTGATAGGATTAGTGCCCTTAGGCCCCAGAGGGCTAGCTTGTTCCTTCCAGGGACACAGGGAAATGCAGCTGCCGGTGTACCAGCACGAGGGAATCCGCTGGCACTGGTCCCAGAATTCCCGGCCTCCATAGCTAGGAGGAATAACTATCTGGTTCTCAGTTTGCCATCTAGTTGACAGAGCTTGGTGCAGCAGCTGGAATGTCTGACAATCACTCTGATCAAGGACTTTCTGTAGTTCCTCACAGAACACACGAAAGCCTCCCTCAGATGGAACTCTTCGGGTTTGTTTTGCAATCTCCCCATGATCCTTGCATATACTGTCAGCTGGCTTTCTTGGTGGGGTCACTGAGTGGTGACAGGAGCCGCTAGGGAGGCATCCCCAGGCCAAACTAAAATCTCTTACAAGTCCAGGCAGAGGGTAGGAAATGATGGGGCTGTAAGGAAGAGATATTTCTTTGAAACACTTTTGTTATGCTTTATTATTTATTTTGTGTATAACACATATGCACCAAGGCCTGCCTCCCTCCCTCCCTCCCTCTCTCCCTCCCTCCCTCTCTCTCTCCCCTTCTTCTCCTTCCTTCTCCCTTCATTTTGTGTGCTAGGGATGGAACCTAGGGCCTCGCACATGCCAGGCAAGCTCTTTACCAATACTTCCAGCACTGTAAGTGATATTGAAGATCATGTTATAGCGTGGACTATTAGGAACTGAATGGGATGCTCTGGAAGATTTTGAGTTTTGAAATGATCCCCTGAGATTCTGTGGAGGAGGGAGCAGCAAGGAGACAGTGTGTGAAGGGATACAAGAGGGGTCCCTGTTTCTGCACAGGCTTCTGTGAGTCACTTTCTGCTAAGCAGGTTGAAGTGAGAGGTGGCAGGGGAGGGCAGAGTGCCGTGACCGCCAGGGCACTGAACTATTTCTTCCCTGTCAGGCAGGGAAGGCAGACTCTTGTGGACAGTGGGTGAGGGAGAATGAGCTGTCCTCAGGGCATCAGGCCTTGGGAGGTTCCCTTCCATCTTCTCTCTGGAAAGTAGCTTTCTGTTTCTGCCTGTCACTCTTGGCATTTCCAGGAACTTCCTGCCTTTTCCTAGCTCCACTTGGCGATGGCCTCTCTTCCTATGGGACATGTGTGAAAGACAGGGGCAGGCAGGCCAGCCTTCAGAGGCTAGCGCTGCCCATCACTAGGCTGCCATCCTAGGCCTGGCTGGCTGGCAGTGTGTTAGGAACAGGGCAGTCTGGACAGAAGAAAACACTTGACCACAATCATAGCTGTCAGCATCAGTCGTATAGCCTGTGGCTTTTAAGTGTTGCCAAGACACAGGGGACAATGACAACCAGAGCACTGTGACCGTTCTCTTGTGTGGAGCTGGCGCCCGCAGTCATCTGTAGGTCTATTGAGCTGTGGTACCTGCCCTGAGAGTGAGATTGGGACTCAGTCTTTCCTTATCTAGTTGAATGATGTTAGCATCCATCTGTGAAAAGGATAGAATGGACAAGTCCGGGGCTCGGTAAGTGATGCTTCACAGAATTAAGGAGAAGGGGCGGGGCGGTGAGACTGTCCGGCTGGTAAAGCTGCCTGCTGCCTGCTGCCAAGCCCGATGGCCTGATTCAGTTCTCCTGGACCCATAGCATAGAAGGAGAGAACCAGCTTCTGAAAACTGCTCTCTGGCCTCTTCGTGTGTGAGTATGCATATATGTCACAATGGGTGCATGTGTGCACGCATACACGTGTGCACACACACAATGTAATAATAATTTAAAAAATAAAGAAGAAGGCAAGGTCCCAGGGAAGCCTCTTTCTGCCCTCCTGTCTCCAGCTCCTTTTCCGTCTAGAAGTGAGTCATAGAAACCACAATTTCACTTCCCTAAGCCCTGTCCTAGAAGCCAAAGCCCCTCTCCCCCAGAGCAAGATTTACATCCCAGACTTCCCACTTGAAACCCTCTTTCTGAGTGGGATCTGGTCATAAAAAACGCTCGGAGGAGCCCTATGTGAGAGGGAGCTATTAGATCCTGATGCCGGAGGAGTCGTGCCTCACTCCCGGGAGGAGGGAAGGCCACATGGGATGGGATGTTGGGGCAACCTTGCTGGGCTTCTCCCTTCAATCTGTTGCACTCGACATTACACCCTAGTATCCAACACGTCTCTGTTTAGCTCTCTCCACACACACGTGCACATGCGCACGCATGCACACACCCACACACTTCTCTTTGAGACAGGGTCTTGCTGGTCTCCAACCATGTCTTTTGCTATAGGAGGGTCAGCTTCCACCCTTATGGATGCATAAGGACTGGTATCCTGAGGGTGGAGGTGGGAAGGCAAGAGAAGGCAGGGAGAAGGTTCCAGAGGAAATCAGGAGTGTAGGAGCTACCTGTCCTGTGCTGGATTACCTGGTCAGGGGATGGCAGTGGCCACTTCTGGAGAAGAAGGGTGGGGTGGGAGGTGGGCAGGTGCTGAGGGCAGCCACATATCGAGTTAATAGCTTTGGTTCTCAATTGTCTTTTCCCTTGGAGGAGGAGAATAAGAGGATTCTGAAATTTAGAGACATTATCAGTTTCCCTTCCCCTAACTGTCATTACTGTTCATCACTGTCAAAGGCTTAGAGGGGGGGCAGCACACGGTGAGGGCATGTGGTAAGAGTATCGGTTGTTTGGGTTGTTTGACCGGCTGGCACAATTCAACTTTCCTTCACTTTCCCTCTTACAAATAGCAACTCCATCCCACCAGGAGCCCCTTTCCCCAACCACCTTCCAGGCCAAAACTGTGGAGGGAACTTTGGGTGAAGAGGCCCCTCCTTCCAGCAATGGAGGGCAGTTACGTAACCGAGATTGTGAAACTCTGGGAAGGCCCAGTTCTGAGCCAGGAACTAAGCACGCCCATGAGGGAGACCTCCTTCATTCCGAAGACTGAGTCTGATGAAAGCAACAAAGTTCTGGGCTTTGGGTTTTAGAGGGAGCACTTCTTGGGGGCGCAGGGACCCAGGGAGGAACCGGGATGGAACCGGGCAGAGGAGCGGAGTAGTCGTGAGGGGTCCCCACGTTAGGTGCAGCGCAGCGCCTCACCTGTTGCGAGCTGCCTGGCGGCCGAGGTTTAAGTGCACCCGGTCTAGTTAAGCAAGCGGTTGCCGCGCAGCCGTGCGCAGTTCTCGGTGGCGGCCGGCGCCTGGGGCTTCCGCCGGTCAGCTGACCGCCCAGTGCGGAACTACACCGCCCACTTTGCTCAGTGCAGCCCGCCGCAGGGTCCCAGCCACCATGGCTGGGATAGTGGTCAGTGGAACTCAAGTAAGTTGGTCCGAGCGAGCCCCATTAGTCCTGGGGCCCAACTGGGGATGGGAGGGACAGCGAGGCCCTGGGTCTCCAAGGCTTAACATGAGCGCCGTCTTCCTCGGATAGCCGCATGTGCAGGTGATGTGTGCCAAGTGCCCACACTTGCTCTAGGTTGAAGAGTTCAGACCCTTCTTTTGATCATGGCACATTTCCTGGCCGTGTGGTGAGCAGCCCAGACCCCTGCCTTCCTCTGTCCCTGGAGCCACACTGATCAACACTTAGGGACTAACTTCGCCTTGAGACCCTGTCCTGGTAACTCATATTTTTCAGGACCCACCAAAAGTGTTTCAGTTTCTTTTTTCACAGTCTTGGTTTTAAAAGAATTTTTGGTGTGCAAGAAAATGTTTTAATAGGCAACCATTTAGCTGTTGATACTAGGGCAACTGTACTGTAAAACAAATGGACTTACATTTCCATTGAGGAAGGGGGCCAAGGCAGCAAAGTGCACAGGGTCACTAAAGCCACAACGTGTCCTCTGGCTGCGTGCTGGTGGGCATCTCTGCTATCAGAGTGATCTTTTCCACAGCTGGTGGAGGCTCGGGGTCCTCTACATTTTTCACTTGGTCTCTGGTTTCTTGAAGAGGTATCACTAGGACATGGTAGTGACATCTTGCCCTACCTGCTTTCAGCCCCATAGTAAGGCCTGCAGTGTTTGGAGAGAACTCCATCAGCCTGAGCAGGGGCCCTTTATCTGCTGAAAAAAATGAAGGTTTCTCTTTTGCGTCCCCTCTCCCTCTCGTAAAGCCAGTGGTCTCACTTTGCCAAGTTCTTCTCCACCCTTGTGAAAGAGTGGTGAGCTTTGAAAGTTCTCCCTTTAGTCTTGTGGTATGAGGGACTAGGGAATTGTCCTTCCTTAGATGCCTAGGGGTTTTACAAATCGGAAACCCAAAGAACGACAGCCGTGCGCATCCCCCAAAGTAAACTCTTTCCTTTTTCAGGAGTCTGGTACCTTCCTCATTTATTGAGTGGCTACTGTGTGCCAGGCACCCTTCAGGTGATGGAAATGAGGTAGCAGCTCTCTGCTGCTCTATTGAGAGCTTTGTCTCCTAGTACTGCTGGCTCTGTCTGGAGCCTCAGACAGGCACAAGTCCAGAGTTGAGGAGTGAGCCCGGCAAACTGCTGTCAGCCTCTGCTAAGTGGCTAAAAAGGAGGATCTGAGCCAGGGAAAGGGGTCTTCTGGGAGTAAGTTTGACTTCCTAGAAAGAGGTGTGTGTGTGTGTGTGTGTGTGTGTGTGTGTGTGTGTGTATGGGGGCCTGCCCCTGTGTGTATTTGCCTAAGAAGCAGGGTCCCTTCATGCATTTGGTGGTCTCTGCATTTCCAATCCCAGCATTCTCTTTGTATAGTTTCTTCCAAGTTCCTGGAGAACTTAACAGTGAGGTCGAAACTTCCCCAGACTTCCTTTTTCTTATCTTGTCCTTCTCAAGACTTGGCGTTTCCTGTGCCCCTAACGGAGCCTGCTGCCCAGGGCTCAGGGGCATCTGCTGACTTGTGGGTGAGACGTTTTGGGCCGTGTCCAGTATTTCAAGATAAAGTACTGGGAGGAGCTAGGAAGCCACAGGGGTATCTGGGGTGTTACAGCATTTAGATAGTGAATGTGAGTGCCTGACTCTGGGGTTAGAGTATTTGCTACCATCAGCTCCACACAATTTATAACAGCACCTACTGTGAGATATAGCACCTTGAATGTTTATGATTCTGACAGAAAGTTCCTTCTTAAAAACCACCTATTCAATAGGGTTCAGTGTAATATTTCAATACATGCATCTAGTATATAATAATCAGAAGAATGGAATTGGTCTATCTATTATAGTAAATGCATATCATTTAGTTGCTTATGCTAGGGGCTTGCAGTCCCTTCTGCTGGTTGTTTTGAATCACACAAAGCATAATAGATTGCTATTGTGTGTTATAGAACATCTGCAGGTACACTCATTGTTACTGTGTGTTTTTTTTTTTTTTTTTTTTTTTTTTTTTTGGATGTAAAGAAACCTTTATACACTGCTGGTGGGAGTATAAACTAGTCAAGCCACTATGGAAATCAGTATAGTGCTTTTTCAGTACACTAACAATAGATCTACTAATTAGCCATGTTATCCCACTCCTAGATACTTACCCAAATCTCTCCATGTCAACATATCACAGAGATAACTACACATCAATGTTTTTCACAACAGTAGTTCACAATGTCTAAGTTAGGAAACCAGGGTAGTCATCCAATAACAGAAGAATGGATGGAGAAAATGTGGTAGATACACAATGGAATTTTTCAGACATAAAAAAGAATAATGTTGTGGTGCTTACAGGAAAATGGATGCAACTGGAAATAATCATATTGAGAAAATTAAGCCAGTCTCAAAACAAAAAAATATTGTGTGTGTTTTCTCTAATTTGTGATATATATATATATATAAAATTTATTTTATTGAGCTATTTATGTTTCTCTGCTCCCCTCCCTTCTGGTTCTTATATCTTTATAGATACATAAATATCACATATGTCTTTTTTTTTTTTTGCTTGCTTGCTTATTTATTTATTTATTTATTTTTTTTTCTCTAAAAATCACTTTAAATTTATTTATTTATTAAGGATTTCTGCCTCGTCCCCACAACCGCTTCCCATTTCCCTCCCCCTCCCCCGATCAATTCCCCTTCCCTCATCTGCTCGAAGAGCAATCAGGGTTCCCTGACCTGTGGGAAGCCCAAGGACTGCCCACCTCTATCCAGGTCTCGTAAGGTGAGCATCCAAACTGCCTAGGCTCCCACAAAGCCAGTACGTGCAGTAGGATCAAAAACCCACTGCAATTGTTCTTGAATTCTCAGTATTCCTCATTGTCCGCTATGTTCAGCTAGTCCGGATTTATCCCATGTTTTTTCAGACCTAGGCCAGCTGGCCTTGGTGAGATCCCAATAGAACATCCCCATTGTCTTAGTGTGTGGGTGCACCCCTCGTGGTCCTGAGTTCCTTGCTCGTGCTCCGTCTCCTTCTGCTCCTGATTTGGACCTTGAGATTTCTGTCCGGTGCTCCCGTGTGGGTCTCTGTCTCTGTCTCCTTTCATCGCCTGATGAAGGTTAATATTCCTGAGGATGTCTATGTGTTTGTCTTTGGATTCACCTTCTTATTTAGCTTCTCTAGGAACATGAATTATAAGCTCAATGTCCTTTATTTATGGCTAGAAACCAAATATGAGTGAGTACATCCCATGTTCCTCTTTTTGGGTCTGGCTTACCTCACTCAGGATAGTGTTTTCTATTTCCATCCATTTGTATGCAAAATTCAAGAAGTCCTTGTTTTTTACTGCTGAGTAATACTCTAATATGTATATATTCCATACTTTCTTCATCCATTCTTCCGTTGAAGGGCATCTAGGTTGTTTCCAGGTTCTGGCTATTACAAACAATGCTGCCATGAACATAGTTGAGCATATACTTTTGTTGTATGATAGGGCCTCTCTTGGGTATATTCCCAAGAGTGGTATTGCTGGATCCAGGGGTAGGTTGATCCCGAATTTCCTGAGAAACCGAAACACTGCTTTCCAGAGTGGTTGCACAAGTTTGCATTCCCACCAGCAATGGGTGAGTGTACCCCTTTCTCCACAACCTCTCCAGCAAAGGCTATCATTGGTGTTTTTTATTTTCGCCATTCTGACAGGTGTAAGGTGGTATCTTAAAGTTGTCTTGATTTGCATTTCCCTGATCGCTAAGGAAGTTGAGCATGACCTTAAGTGTCTTTTGGCCATTTGAAGTTCTTCTGTTGAGAATTCTCTGTTCAGATCAGTGCCCCACTTTATAATTGGGTTGATTAGCCTTTTACGGTCTAGTTTCTTGAGTTCTTTATATATTTTGGAGATCAAACCTTTGTCAGTTGCAGGGTTGGTGAAGATCTTCTCCCAGTCAGTGGGTTGTCTTTTTGTCTTAGTGACAGTGTCCTTTGCTTTACAGAAGCTTCTCAGCCTCAGGAAGTCCCATTTATTCAATGATGCCCTTAGTGTCTGTGCTGCTGGGGTTATACATAGGAAGTGGTCTCCTGTGCCCATTTGCTGTAGAGTACTTCCCACTTTCTCCTCTATCAGGTTCAGTGTGTTCGGACTGATATTGAGGTCTTTAATCCATTTGGATTTGAGTTTTGTGCATGGTGATAGATATGGATCTATTTTCATTCTTCTACAGATTGACATCCAGTTTTGCCAGCACCATTTGTTGAAGATGCTCTCTTTTTTCCATTGTATACTTTTAGCTCCTTTATCGAAGATCAGGTGTTCATAGGTTTGTGGGTTAATGTCAGGGTCTTCTATTCGATTCCATTGGTCGACTTCTCTGTTTTTATGCCAATACCAAGCTGTTTTCAATACTGTAGCTCTGTAATAGAGTTTGAAGTCAGGGATGGTAATGCCTCCAGACAATCCTTTATTGTATAAGATTGTTTTGGCTATCCTGGGTTTTTTGTTTTTCCATATAAAGTTAATTATTGTCTTCTCCAGATCTGTGAAGAATTTTGATGGGATTTTGATGGGGATTGCATTGAATCTATAGATTGCTTTTGGTAGAATTGCCATTTTTACTATGTTGATCCTCCCAATCCAAGAGCAAGGGAGGTCTTTCCATTTTCTGGTGTCTTCTTCAATTTCTTTCTTCAAAGACTTATAGTTCTTGTCAAGTAGATCTTTCACTTCCTTGGTCAGGGTTACCCCAAGGTATTTTATGCTATTTGTGGCTATCGTGAAAGGTGATGCTTCTCTGATTTCCCTCTCTGCTTCCTTATCCTTAGTGTATAGGAACGCAACTGATTTTTTGGAGTTGGTCTTGTATCCTGCCACATTACTAAAGCTGTTTATCAGCTGTAGGAGTTCTTTGGTAGAATTTTTGGGGTCGCTTATGTACACTATCATATCATCTGCAAATAATGAAAGCTTAACTTCTTCCTTTCCAATACGAATCCCCTTGATCTCCTTATGTTG